TCTTTGCCTTGGTGTCTGTATATTCAAAGAAAACTCAAGAAGAAGACAGCACGAATAACTGGGGTGGGGAATGAATCAGGAAGGGCCTCTAAGAAACATGGCAGGTGAGCTGTGCTTGGGAGGAAGTTTGGGATCAAAGAGGGGGAGGGGAGGATGGAGGTGGATAAAGGCAGGAGATGAAATGTTGTAGAAGTGGAACAATCGAGTTGGCCAACTAGAGGGGATTGAATAATGGGCAAAAACGATTAGACGTTTGAGTGGGGGCAGATCACTTTCACCTGGCAGAGAGTGGAGGGAGAAGGATGTGAGAAGTTTTATAAAAGAACTAGCTAGGTCCTGGAGGAAGGAAGAGGGGAAGAAAAGAAGGGAAGGAGTAAAGAAAGGAGGGAAGAAGGGAAGGAGGAAAGAAGGAAGGGAAGAAAAAAGGGATGTAAGGAGGAGAGGAGGGAGGGAGAATGGGAGGAAGAAAAGGAAGGGGGAAAGGAGGGATGGAGGGAGGAAGGAAGAGAGGGAGGAAGAAAGGAAAGAAAGAAGAAAAGGAGGAAGAAAGAGATGGAGGGAGGAAGAAAGGAGGAAGGAAGGATAGAGGAAGAAAAGAAAGGAAGGAAAGAAGGATAGAGGGATAGAAGGAAGGAGAGAAGGGAAGAAAGAAGGAAGGATGGAGGAAGAAAAGAAAGAAGGAAGGAAAGAAGGATAGAGGGATAGAAGGAAGGAGAAAAGGGAAGAAAGGAGGAAGGATGGAGGAAAGAAGAAGGGAAGGAAGGAAGAAGGAAGGAGGGAGGGATAAATGGACTCTACATGGAGATGGCCAGGGAGAGACAGAATGGTTGGGCAGAGCAGGGAGAAGGCAGGGAAAGCACAGGAGCAGAGTTTGGTACAATGTGCCAATGTCTGCTATTTCTATGGCACTTTAATATTTGCAAACATATCAACTCATCTGAGCCTCACAAGAACCCCTATCAGATGTATTGTCTTCAATCAATCAATCAATAAGCATTTATTAAGAGCCTACTACATGCTGAGCACTTTTACAAATAGGGAAATTGATACTCAGAGAAGTAGGTAGTGTTTTGCCCATGGTCTCGCAGCTAGTGGGTGTCAGAGGAGGGATGTGAACCCTGGTCCAGTTGACTTCTAAGTCCAGTGCTTTCTCCACATTGCCTCCTGGGAGCTAGAGCGCTCTTGAGATAAGGCTATAAGGGTACCTGGAACCAAATTGTGGAGGAAGCACATTGAATACCAGGGTCGGGTGTTTATACATTAGTCTGACTTATCTAGAGGCCAAAGTCTAGACTCCACAGGAGTCTCCTGCATTCCTCTTAGCATTTTCCAAGTGTTTAGTCTCCCCAGACTCCATTTGACAGATGGAGAAACTGAGACACAGGGAGCATCAGAGATAGGATTTGAACCCAGGTCCTCTGACTCCAAGTGAGCCCATGGACTGTCTGTCCTGGAGGTCTGCTCCTCTTCTCCCTTCCCCTTTGGCTTCCCTATCTTTCCTGTCCCATACCCCAGACTCATTCCTGCTGGCATCACTCCCCCTGCTCAGCCACATCCTAATCCTCCTTTCAGCCTTCCAGCTCTCAGAGGGTTCCTCATTTGCCAAAACTTAGGGCACCACCCAGCTAAGCACTTCATTCTAACCAATGTGGCACAGAGAGAAAGGACAGTGCAGTGGAAAAAGCACTGGCAAAAATATTCCCCCAAAGAGAAGAAAGTTCAGAAGGAGATCCTCATAGGCAGGGCAACTTTGTTACTACCATGTCAAACTGAACGTATCCTGTAAAAAACCAAATTGTTCATGACAGACATTCACAGTTTCATATACAACTCTTTATTCTTTGCGTATTGAAACATCTATTTTAAAAAAAGTTTATGACAAAAAGATTTAAAAAACAAAAGCACTGGCTATATTATCTGGAGAAACCTGAGTTCGAATCCTTACTCTGACTCTTGGACTTTTACTATTAATAATAGCTGATGCTTAGATAGCAACTTATATACATAGATGGCAGAGGGGGGAGAGTGTGTTTGTGTATATATGTATATGTATACATATGCACACACACATAAAGAGAGAGTATATATACACATATATACTCTCTATATATAATTTATTCATAGTTTTATGGCCTCTAGATAAGTCATACTAATGTGTAAATAATCTTCTTTGACCCTCATAATAGCAGGTGAAATGGGTACAAGTGCCCCTAATTTACAGATGAGGAAATTGAGGCTCAGAAGGGCTAAATAATTTGCCCACAGTCGCATAACCAATAAGCATCAGAGGCAATTTTTGAACCCAAGTCTTTCTTCACTCGGAATCCAATGCACCTTTTGCTACATCAGATTGCCTTCTCAACCAACTGTATGACCAGGACCATTACATTTTTTTAATCTGAGCCTCAGTTTGTTCTCCTATAAAATGGAGGCCCACTAATCTCTGTAGGGGCCACCTCATGGTCTTATTGGAGTGGCCAGGTGATGCAGTGGATAGAGTGCTGGGTCTGGAGTCATCTTCCTGAGTTCAAATCTGGCCTCAGACATTTACTAGTTGCGTGGCTCTGGGCAAGTCACTTAACCCTGTTGGCCTCAGTTTCCTCATCTGTAAAATGAGCTGGAGAAGGAAATGGAAAACCACTCTAGTATCTTTACCAAGTCAACATGAGATAAATAAACACAAAATGAAGCCACAAGGGGATACCACAGTGCACAAAGTACTGGGCCTGGAGTCAGGAAGAGCTGAGTTCAAATCCAGCGCCAGACACTTCCTAGCTGTGCAACCCTGGACAAGACACTTTACCCTTTGGGTGCCTCAGTTTCTTCATCTGTAAAATGGGGATAATAATAGCCTTTCCTCCACAGGGTTATGGTGATGATAAAATGAAATAATATTTGTAAAGCATTTTGGAAAAGTTTAAGTGCTATATATGGCAGTTATTATTATAATTACAATATATGTAAACTTTATGATTAAAGTGCTTTGCAAACCTCAGGGTCACATAAATGGATTATTCATTATTTTCTTTATCATTATTATTACTCTGGGTGTTGCTCTATAATTGTTTCCTATGTATGAATTTGTGTCCATAATCAGACTGTAGGTTCCTTGAGGACAAGGGCCCTCCAGAACCACCTTAGAAGTCAGAGGAACTTTTACCTCACTTCATCTTCATTCAAGGCTCAGCTGAGCTGCCACCTCCTGAAGGAAGTCTTCCCTGATCTCCAGGTTGTCAGTGCTCTCTCTTTCCTTCAATAACCTCATATTTACTTCCCTGTCTACATGTTGTATCCCTATAATTCTACTGGAGTGTCAGCTTCTTGAGGGCAGGGGAACATTTTGTTTTGGTGTGTCTTTGTATTCCCCTACAAGGTAGCCAGTTTGATAGCCAAGGGTTACATTTTCAGTATGAATATAGATATCTTGGAAATTGGCAAACACTACAAATTATGGTTTGATTTATAGTTTTGTTGCATATCTCTAGACTTAAGAAAATGATAGAGAAATATGAATAACACAGATTAAACTTGAAAGCATTATTTGCACGTACCTTGCCCCCTCCTCCCTCCCGCCCGGCTTTGAACTGAATAGATATTTAAAAAATGTTTGTTGCTGAATCAAACTGAAACATCACTAGCTTTAGGTGGGGAAACCGAGGCTGGAGGGGATAGAGAAATGTTCCTGGATAGGACAGGGCTGCCCAGAAGTTCATGAAGTCCTGTCCTATGGGTGTCTGGGGACCTGAACCCTGAGCCACAGACAGGAAAGGAAGATACTGACCGACTTCCAACCTGAGAATTCGCTGTTGTTTCTCCTTTGTTCTCAAAGAAGACCATGACATCAGGAAGGTGATGCCATGACTTGCAAGTGAATTGGATTGAAGTGAGGCAGGGCTATGCAAAGTCATCAGCCTTACTCCTTCCTCTGCAGCCATCTGGGTCCAGTGGCAAGATATAGATCATGGTTATGTCTTGGTGGTAGGAAGGGAACAGACAGGGGCAGCCCCAAGAAGTGTCCAAAAATAGGGCCCCGTCTTACTGCTGCCCAAACCATAAATGGCTTCTTGAAGCCCCAGCCCCAGGGGAGTGAATGGGGCGGACAGTGCCCAGCTCCAGGCTGGGATTAAAACACAGCTCTGTGCTCCTGCTCAAACCTGAGCCTGACTGACCTGAGAGCAGCCCCACGTAACTCAGCTGCACCATGGTGAGTACAGCTGAACGCAGTGATCCTCTCCAGAGTGAACCCACGTGGCAGTGACCCTTAGGCTGGGGCAGAGGAAGAAGCCAGAGCTGGGGCTCCTAGGGCCGGGACAAAGGTATGCAGAATGGGAATAAGGTCAGAATTCTAAGCGAAGGAACCCATGACAGCCAGCTCTGCATTGGCAGTACTGGAGAGAGGGCTGACTTCAGAAGCAAAAGACCTGGGTTCAAGTCCTACCTTTGTGTGATCCTGGGGACAAGAACAGAAAGGGCAGAATAATTGCTGGTCTCATCTCCATTGGCAGAGAGAGCTTCGGTAGGGGGCGATTCCCTATTCCCAAGAAATCACAGAGTATGTCCTCCCCCCACCCCTGCCAAATCTAACCAAACCAACAAGCATTTATTAAACACCTACTAGGTGCAAGGCACTATTTGATGGGAAAACAATGACAAAACTGAACAATTCTTGTCCTCAGGAAACTTACATTCTATTTGGGGGGAGGGGCATGCTCAAACAACAATGACTAATAGATTAATTATATGCAAGAGAATTTGTGGAGGAAGGACAGAAAAGAACTAGGGGGATCAAGAAAGGCTTCTTATACCAGATGGTGAGCAAGCAGAAACTTGAAGGAGGCCAAGGTGAGGAGAGAGGACATTCCTGATGTGGGGACCAGCCTGATGAGGGGCACAGAGGTGGTAGATAGAATGTTCTCCCACCTTTAAGGGAGCAGTAAGGGATTTAAGAGAGCAGTAAACAGGGCAGGTTGACTGGGCTGTAGAGGATGTAGAGGGGGATCATGGGTAACAAGACTGAAAAGGTAGGACAGAGCCAGAATGTGAAACAGGAGAGTTTATAATTTATCTCAGAGGCAAAAAGAAGCCGCAGAATTTTTTGTGTAGGGAAGCGACATGATCAGAGTGGTAGGAAGATCATTTTGGAAGCTATGTGGAAAAGGCAGTAGAGAAGGAAAAGGCTAGAAACTGGGAGTTCAATTAGGAGGTTGCTGCAATTAGTATGGGCAGAGGGATGAGATCCAGTGGAGAGACGGGGATGGGGGCAAAGGGCATTGTGGGGATAGACTTGGCAAGACCAGACCACTGATTAGTTATAGGAAAAGGAACAGTTAGGAATAAGCATTTATTAAGCTCTTACTAAGCGCCAGGCACATAGCTTTACAAGTGTCCCTTTTGAAAGTCACACAGCTGGTAAGTGTCTGAGTTGGGATTTGAATTCAGGTCTTCCTCATTCCAGGCCCAGGGCTCTCTTCTTAGCTACCTCTGTTTAAGAAGGGATACCAGGGATATGAGGCACTGGGGAGAGGGAAGAATGGTGAGTAGCATTTCTGAATTAGCACCTGGATGCCTGGAAGGATTGTGCTACCTTCAATAGAAATAGGGGAAACAGAAAGAGGAAGAATTTGGTCGGGGCGGGGGGGGGGAGGTAATGAGTTCTGTTTTGGCCACCTTGAGTTGCCAATCTGTATGGGACACCCAGTTGGAAATATTTGACAAGCAGCTAATTGATGACGTGAGTCTAGAGCTCAGCGAGATTGGGACTGGCCATATTTATAGATCTGGAAGTCATCGACATAGAGATGGTAATGAAGCCCATTGGTAGCTGATGAGAGAACCTAGAGAGAGAGTGGAGAGAGAAGAGGGAAGGAAGTGGAAGACAACATTTGCCGCATATGCCCAAACCAGGCATTAACCCAGAAGCTTAGTCTCGGGGATGGATCTGCCATCTCCAGAAAAGGTCTTGGGTTGGTTTGTCTTCTTGGAGCTCATTCTGCTTGGAAGTGGAGATGGGTCTAGCACAGGGAAGGGGAACCTGCAGCCTCAAGGCCACGTGTGGCCTTCTAGGTCCTCAAGTGTGGCCCTTTGACTGAATCCAAACTTCATAGAATAAATCCCCTTAATAAAAGGATTTGTTCTGTCTGACTTGGACTCAGTCAAAAGGCCACACCTAAGGACCTAGAAGACCACACGTGGCCTTGAGGCTGCAGGTTCCCCACCCCTGGTCTAGCAGATGAGCAGGTATAGGAGGAGCTGGTGTGAGCTGTAGGTAACCCAGAGCTGGCTGAGTTTCTTAATCTGGGAGTTCTTGGAACCAGGACTATGCTCGGAATCTAAGATCTGTAAGAAGGTTCCATCTCCTTCTCGGGTGGGGGTAATGTCTCTATCTTCCTCTCTGTTTTAGTCCCCACTCCCCTTTAGAGAAAGTCATCAGGGTTTCTGGGAAGAGGAGGGGAGAGAGAAATGAAGACATGAACTGATCCAGAGAAGGGTATGGGGAGTGGAGACGGCAGCTTCCTTCTCTCTGCAAGGTTCTCATCCGTGCCTTTGGAACCTGGTGCTGTTTCCCTAGGTGGCGCCGTAGTGCACAGCGTGCCCAGCCTGGAGTCAGGAAAACACATATCCCTGAGTTGAAATCTGGCCTCACATACTTCCTAGCTGTGTGACCCTGGGCAAGTCACTTACCCCAGTTTGCCTCAGTTTCCTCATCTGTAAAATGAGCTGGAGAAGGCAATGGCAAACCACTCTAGTATCTTTGCCAAGAAAACCCTAACTGTGGTCACAAAGAGTCGGATATGACTGAAAACGACTGAAGCACAACTAAGCCGCTTACCCGGACGCGTTTAGACATGGGTTTGAATCATGGCTTTGCCACTTGCTACCAGCGTCCTTGGGCAAGCCGTTCTTGTGCTCTGGGCCTCAGTTTCCCCATGTGTAAAATTATAAGGTTGGACTAGATAATTTCTAAGGCCTTTTCAGCTCTCAGAGGTTATGAATCTATGAATGGGACCCAGAGAGTAAATACATGGAAGTAGTGGGTGGGTTTCCTATGTGGAAGTCTTGCCTAGGGCCCCTGTAGGTTTCATCCAGGTATGCCTGGCTCCACCATAGGGCAGGACAAATAGGATGAAGCTGTAGTGACAGAGACAGAGGAAACTGTAATGTAAGACTCTCCTTGAGGATCTTTATACCTAGCACAGTGACTGGCATATAGTAGAAGCTTAAAAAACACTTCTTGTTTAATTGAATTTAGATGGGAAGCAGCATTTCCTGATAGGGAGGATAATGAACCCTTGAGATGGTGCCCAGAGAAATTCCCAGCCCCAGAAAGGAGGCTGGAACCCTAGCCCTTGACCTTGACCCTGACCCTGGGCTAAAGAAGCCTCAAAGGTGGGGAAATGGATTCCATGAGTGTGGACATGTTCATGGGTCTGGTGTTCTGTAGACCGACAGACTGTCAGCCGATCAGATCAAGGAATACAAAGGAGTCTTAGAGATGTTTGATGAGGAGGGCAATGGATTGGTAAAGACAACTGAGCTGGAACAGCTAATGACCCTACTGGGCATCAACCCCAGTAAGAGCGAACTAGGGACAATGGCCAAGGAAGTGGACAAAGATAGTGAGGACACTGAGCTGGATACCCACTGGCCCTCTCATTCCTATCCCATTAACTGACCAGTCTGAGAGGGGGAAGATAGCTCCCATTCTGAAGGGAGGAGACAGACTTTGCACTCAGGGAGTTCCCAATGGGGAGGAAGGAGGCAGGGGACACACAGCTCCTACCCTCAGGGGGTCTCCAGTCTGGTCGGGGAGGAGACAACCCCTGATCTCAGTGAGCCCCTTATCTGAGGAGGGAGACACAGTCCTCACCCTCAGGGATCCCATGGTCTGGGGGAGAGGGAGGGAGGCAGTCCTTGTTTTCAGAGAGATGGGAGCTCTGGGGCTTCCTCATTGAGCACAGACCCCTGAAGCTGCCTTGTATCCACATCTGGGAAACTGATTTTTCCTTTCAGACAAAGGTACCTTTAACTGTGATGGCTGCTTGTCACCGATGGCCATTTATCATGAGAAAGCCAAAAATCAGTTTGTTGAGCTGAGGGCAGAGTTCAAGGTCTTTGACAAGGAGGCCAAAGGTTACATAGACTGGGACACTCTCAAGTAAGACACCTGTGTGTGTGTGGGGGGGGGGGCGAAGGGGAGATCCTGCATGGGAATGCGGGGCAGGGGGCAGCAGAATATTCTGAGCTCAGTCTCACTAGTACTGGGGATGAAGGTCTGGGAGGAGGAAATCAAATGGGAAACCCCCACCCCACGCTGACAGGGAGACACACCCCTGTCTTCAGGGAGCCCACAAACATGACTCTGGAGGGTGGGGCGCAGTCTAAGTCAGTCTTTACTGTTGGGAAACCCCTCGTCTGAGGGCTGAACTGTGGGCAATAGTAAAGGTCAGCCCTGTTTGGCCACTAGGAGTGCAGCAGAGGGGGGAGGGGAGGACAGCAAGGGAGTCTTCCTAGAGGAAACCTGGTTCAGTTTTGTGGGGCTTGGGGGATTCTCTGTGCAAGGTACGTGCTCATGAATGCAGGGGAACCTCTTAATGAGGTGGAAGCTGAGCAGATGATGAAAGAGGCTGACAAAGATGGGGACAGAACGATTGATTATGAAGGTAAGGATACGCCCCACCCCCCCACTGTCCCCAAGACCCGGCCCCGCCCCCTCCTCGGTCCATTGGTTAGACTCTCCCAACCCAAGGGGACCCTAGATCCGTCTCCTGCCCCTCCCCAACCGAGTGCCCAGAGCCGTCCCACCACCTCTCAACCTGTAGCGTGGGCAGGGGCAGGGAGGCTGCCCTTCACTAGCCTAGCAGCAGGGGGCAGTGAAGGCTCAGGAAGGGCCAGGCCCCGGGGTACGAGGGAGCCGGCTCCTGGGAGTGGGAGCAGGTGGGGAGGCAGGGATGCTGCAGCCCCCTTCCCTCTGCGGGTCTGCCTCTCTGCCCCAATGCAGCAGCCCCAGCTGGGGAAGGACAGCTCAGCCCCGTTCTCTTCCTACTTGCACCTTCCCTTCCTTTCTCATCTACCCATCTCTGTCTGCACCTCTTTCTTTGTGCCTGTCTCTCCACCCCGGTTCTGTTTCTGACTCGGCCCCCATAGCACTCTCCTCCTTTCCCCGTTTCCCTCCTTGTCTGCGACTCTCCTGCCTTTGCCCCCATCTCTCCTGGTCCCTTCCTGTCTGTCTCTGTCTTTGTCCTTTGTCTATCCTCTCTGTATCCCGTGTTTTCTCTGCCTTTGTCTTTCCGCTTGTCCCAGGCGCTGCTGTCTCTGCCTCTGCTCCCCATCTCTCCTCACGCCCGTCAGCCTCTGTCCTTGTCCACAGTCCCTCTCTGCTCTCTATCTCCATCTCTTTCCTTTCTGTCTCTGCTCGCCCCTCCCTCCTTTCCTTGTCCCTCTCTCCTCTCTATCTCTGCCTGTCCCCTCCCTTCTCTCCTTGTCCTGTCGTCTGCCTTTGTCCCTCTGTCCCGGTCCTTCTCTTCCCCCCTCCTCTCTGTCTGCATCTCTGAGAGGTCTGGGCTGCAAGACACTCTTTCCTCCTGGCTTCCTCAGTGGTGGAATATGGAGGGAAGTTTTGGGACGGAGCTGAGCTCCAGGCTTGGCTGGCTGTGCTCCCCTCCCTCTCCTCTCCCTTGGCGTCGGGGTGGAGAGGATTGAGACAGCAGCTACCTTTCAGGGCTGTTCTTGGGGTGCATTGAAGGGGATTTCCCAGTTAGATCTCAGACCCAAATAAAATACCCGTCTGAAGGGGGACAGTCCACTGGGCCTTGGTCATTCAATTATTGTGGGTGGGCTTCCTTTGCTACTCTAGATAAGGAACACACTCAGCTCTTCATGCTTGGAGTAGATTATCCAGGTCTGGGCAGCTCCCTGTCCTGCCCCCCTCACAATGTTGCCACTGGGAATGAGTGGGGAGGATTTGGGGTTCAGAGGACTGTTGCCTCTTCTGGGGGTGGGAATGATCTCTGACTCCCAAATTCATGCCCTCAGAGTTTGTGGCCATGATGACTGGAGAATCTTTTAAGGTCGTCCAGTAGGGATGGATGCACGGCCCTGATTGGTCAACACAGTACCCCTCCCCTGCAAGCCCCTCTTTAATAAATTTTCTTTATAAAGACCTTCTTTTGAGCCTCAGAAATCCCCTGCTGCACCCCACTCCTTCCTCAGATCTGACTACCACCCCCCTTCCCCCAATCTGTTAACGGCTTCTCTGTAGGCTCAGCTCTGGAGGAACCAGGCAGAAGCTCCAGTGGGTGTCACAGGTGCTGGTGCAACTGCTCCCTGCCCCCATTCTATCCCCAGGATTCCATCAGCTTTGAAGTCTTGCCACACTCCCCTCCCCCAAGGCCTTCTCTTCCCCCTCCTTCTGCCTCCCCCAATGGGGAGGGATGAGGAAAAACCAAAATTCTGGGCCCAGGGCTCAGGGATGGGGAGGGAAGGCAAAGCTAAACGGAAAGCCCTCTGGCCACTAGCTCCAAGGTAGCAGAGCACCCTGGTCACTGGAGTCCAAGGGCCTGAGCTCCCGCACCTCCTCTGGAAAATGAAGGGGTTACAGAAGCACGGATGTGGGTGGGCTTGATAGTTGCTGAGGCAGATTTCGGCTTGATAGGAAGAACTCCCTCTTCCCTGGAGGCCTGAAGGCCTTCAGGCAGGGGCTGAATGACCAGTTGTTGGGTCAGGCTGCAGAGGTTTCTGGTCAGGTATGGGGTGGACAAGATGGTATCATTGGTCACTTCCAGTAATCTTCACATTCCAGCTCTGTAATTTCCTCGGTGACCTGGAGTAGGTCACACTTCCCCCTAGACACCTTACTTTGCTCATCCATACAGCGGGGAGTTTGGAGCAGGTGGAATCATATACATTTATAGTGGAAGGTCCCTGAAAGGCCACCTGGTCCAGCCTGGGGAATGGTTGGTTTAGCACACATGGTAAATGGATGAGGTGATATAACTCACCATTCCTCCTGGTAGGAAGGATAGAGCTGGGTGTTCACCCAAGATCCCCTTTCCCTTCAACTGCAGATGCCCCCTCCAGGGGCAAGAAGGGACCCCTTCTGGGGGGTTGCTAGAGAGACAGATGCACAGCATGTCCATCAGTATCAAAGGCAGGACTGATAATAATAATTATAATAGCTAACACGTAGCGCTTACTATGGGCTAGGCACCGTGCTAAGTGCTCTATGAATATTATCTCCTTTGAACCTCACAACAACCCTGGGAGATAGGTGCTATTATGATCCCCATTTTACAGACAAGGAAACAGAAGCAAACAGAGGTTAAGTGACTTGCACAGGGTCATACAGCTCATGAATGTCTGAGGCTGCATGTGAACTCAGGTCTTCCTGACTCCAGGCCCTGTGATCTACCCCCTGCACCACGTCAAGGGCCCTTCTGGTATGTCTCCCTCCCCCCTCTCCCATTGCATAGTCACAGATCAGAAAGTTAGGGTTCCAGATTCATAGCTGGGAGAGGGAAAAGCCCTGGATTCAAATTCTACCTTTGTCATTTACTATCAGGGTATGCTTGAGCTACTGGTTGTGAGCTCAAATGAGATAGTACCTGGCATACAGTAAGTGCTAATAAATGCTCTGTCCATTTATCTACGTCAGTGGGAGAAGAACGGACAGGACAGAGAATGCTCGCTCAATGCCCCAACACATTTGCTCTCCTTCCCCAGGCTAGGCCAAGGCCCACCACCACTTACTCTAGACTCAATTAGCGCAGGAAAAAAATCCTCAAAACTTTACTTTTTCCCCAAAGAAAAAAAACATAGAAATCAAAGCAGACTAAAATGGAGCAGTTAATTCAACCATGAGACATAAGGAACTCCTTCCTCCCTTTCCCCACCCCCAGGTCCTCTCTCCGGTCCTCCCTGCAGCCCCACCTCCCCCGCTGTGCTGGATAGCATCAGGCCCAGTCAGCCAAGCAAGGGCCCAGAGGAGGGCAGTCAGAATGGTGAAGGGTCCTGGGTCCATCCCACGGGAGGATGGCTATCAAAGGAAAAAGGAGTCTTTTAGCCTGGAGAAGGGCACTCTGGGATGGGGAGGGGAGGCTGTGGGAACTTCCCCAAGTACCTGAATCGCTATCACATGGAAGGGTGATGACATTTGCCCTGTTTGGCCTGCAGAGCTATAGGGAGAAGTTACAAAAAGGCAAAAATTTAGGCTTAATGCAAAGAAAATCTTCCTGTCACTTAATGGGTGATTTGCAGAGGGAATGAGTTCTTTCCATGCTCTCACTGAAGGCCAGATGACCATCTGTCGGATCCACTGTAGGGGAAAGTCCTGTTTAGGCCTGGGTCAGAGTAAATGGTGTCTAAGGGTCCTGCTGGCTCTGAGATCCTGTGGAGGGGGGCTAGGACCCAGACTCTACATTCCCCCACCCCACTACACACACATCTGGTCATCTTGGGAGGGGGTGAAGGATGCCCCTCTCCATTCTATCAAAGGAAGTCTCTGCTGGTGTCCACAGAGTCCTCGAGCCCCCTGAGAGGGCTTGGGCCCTTCCCCTTTGGGCGATCTTCACCTTCCCAGTCTCTGCAGATTGACCATCACATGGCCAGTGGTTACAGCCACAGGATTCCTAGATGACTCTTGCAGAGAGTGAGGATGCAGAGGGACAGGCCCTCCTCCCCCTCTTTGGCCTGGCTTGACCTGACCAGAACGGAGAGCCCCCAGGTGGGGGGCCCGAGTGCCGTTTTCCTTCCCGATGACGTCAGGCGAGTGGAGCCCAGGACATTTTGTTCCTCGCCCTGGGCAGGGAGGCCTGGACTGGTCAGGGCCATCTGCTATTTTTACCGGCCTGCTCCACGGGTGTCACTAGATCCCCTTCTGAGTGAAGGTCGCTGAGCTGGCTCCAAGCCAGAGGTGGGGACATCAAGGACGGCGTCCACCAAGCCCCCATCTTGGCTGCTCCTCAGGGTTCCTGGGGCTGCTCCTTCCAAAACCCCTCTTGCCCTCAGGCTATGGCTGGGGCTCTGCAGGGTCTGGGGAGGGGGTTGGGTTTGGCCCTGGCTCTTGCCTGGGCTGGACGTCCCCACAGGGCTCAGGCTGTTCTGGGCTCAGGCTGGCTTTCTGGGAGGGCGGAGCCCCTTCCAAGCCTGGCTTGGCCATCTTAATGGCTTCTTCATAGGATGGGGGCAGCTCCAAGGCATAGAGGCTGTAGGCTGGAGGGGACACGGTGCCTGGCTCCATGTCCCGAAATGCCAGTGGCAGAGGTGGGCCCAGGGGGTTCTGCACAGAGCTGTAAGCTGGAGAAAAGAGCAAAGGAAGTTAGAGACATCCTGAGCGGGTCAGGATGGGGCACAAGCCAGACTCTGACAATGGTGTCTGAACAGACTTCAGCCAGCATAACCTTCCCCAGCCCAGAGACCTCTGATGGCTTGGCTTGAAGCTCACCTCACGCAGGAAATCTGTCTTGGGTAATCCCATTTCACTCTGGCTACCTAAGAGGAGAAAAGGCTAAGAACTTGGAATCAGAGGATCTGGGTTCAAATCTTCCAATACTTCATTACCTGTGACCTCTCACCTCAGACAAATCACTTAGACTCCTTGGGTCTCAAAGTTTCTCATCTGTAAAATGGGGATGTTGGACTAAAGACTTCTAGCACCTCAAGATTTGCTCTAAGCCAGCCCTGCCATCCTCTCAGGGTCAGGGATGAGCACCAGGGTTGGCAACCTGATACGGAAGCAAGAGTGATGATTTTAAATCCTGGGTCAGAATCTTGCTATCTGCGTGAACTCTAGGCAAGTCATTCAATTTCTCTGGTTAATAGACCTTGTTTTCTTCTTCAGTAAAATGGGAAAAAGACTTGCAATTCTCTAATCTTCCACGGCTCTCTGCTGCCAGCCAAGTCAACATCTAACTAATCTAGAAACCTGAAATTCAAGGTCCTTCTCCCATTCCTGTCCCAACACAGCGATGTTTCCAGACTTCTCATGTTACTTCATACCCTCCATCAACTCCACATTCCAGCCAAACTGTACAGGGCCGCACTCTCCCCTCTTGAATAAGGCCTGTGATCTCCTGCCACCATGCCTTTGTCCACCAGCTGTTCTCTGTGTCCAGAATGCTTCCTACCCTTTGTTGGCTGCTGAATTCCTACCCACACTTAAAGCCAGTAGAATACAAGATTCTCAAGGGCAAGCCCTTCTCATTTTGGGTCTTTGTATTCCCAGTACATAGTAGGGTACCATGCACATAGTATGTGCTCCATAAATGCCTATTCCTTCATTTAAACATTTATTATATACCTACTATGTTAACAAGGCAACAAGCCTTTATTGAGCATAACTGTCAGTCACTGGGCTAAGTGCTAGGGATAAAAATAGAAGCCAAAAGAAAGACAGCCCCTGCTCTCAAGGAGTTTTCACTCTCATGTGGCAAGACAACACATAAAAGAGCCAGTGATGTGGTGGGTGGAGAGCAGGCCTTGGAGCCAAGCTGAGCCTTGTTCAAGCCCAGTCTCTGACACACACTGGCAGTGTGACCCTGGACAAGTCACTGTGCTTTTCATGTCCCCCCCAAAAAAACTAAATATTACTGAAGGCAGTTCCTCACCAGGACTTCCTTACATTGAGGAAATTATAGGTCAAAGCAAAGAAGAAAAATTGAAAAATAGTTGGAGTAATTTGAAAGGTAGCGTGGTGCCGTGGGGAAGAAAGCACTGTCTTGAAGTCCTGTTCAGCTACTTGGTGTCTGTGTGATTCAACTTCTCTGGGAGTCAGTTTCCTTCTCTGCAAAATGAGGGGGTCCTTTCCGGTGCTAAAACACATTATGACTAATTTCAGGGCAGGGGTTGGGGAATCAGCATAGGCCATGTGCAAGTGGCCCCTGAGCTGACCTTTCAAGGAAACTAGCTATTCTAAGACGGAAGAAGAGCCCAAATCCAAGGACACCTCCACCATGAGGCCTTGTCTGATACCAGGCTCCTCAAAAACTGTAAGAACTTTCTCTTTTGACTGTCACTGGGCATTTCAACCCTGCCCCCCCCCCCATATGCACTTGTCATAGCCCATTATACAATTATAGCTGCCTAG